AAAATGACACATTTTGCTTGCAAAAGATGACTACAAGGTTTTTAGCAGATCCCGACCCGCACCAGGAAGATGCAGTACTCTGATCTCACGCATCTTCCAGCAACAGCTGGATAGGTGCTGCCAGCCTGCCTACACAGGTTCTTCTCTGATGTAGGTTCAAGTGGAATCCTTCTGGCAGTTCCTCCTACACAACCGTGAAAGAAGAGAACAGCTCCATTTTTCTTCATCCCTGATACCATGCCAAGAAGCTACTCAAATTGAAACGAGCCAAGTTTAATAGTAAAGAAAGAAGGACCTGTACAGAGCATGAAAACATGATAAATAAGGTCCTAGACACAACTCAGCCAGCACACTGCAGCACTGGCTTGCAGCACTCATAAATACACACTCATGGAGCGTGGACAAAAGACTAAACAGAAACCACAAAGTTCTAATTTCAGACTTGAATCAATTATGAACATGGAAACATTTTAAAATTAAATATCTATGCTGCTTTAAAAACGCTTTATTTGATATCCCAAGCTCTCAGAAAATCTATTATTTAAAATGAAAAAGGAACCATAAAAAACCTAAACAGCCCAATACCCTGAGTAACACCAGCAAGTTAGTTGTTTGATGAAAAAGTGAACTTCCCCTTGCTTGAAAGAAAGTGCTATACAATCACTTATCGAATGCTTTGCACAATTCCTGACACAATGTGCTTTGACTCAGTAAATACCTGTGGCATTTGCTGTCCGCCCAAAGGAATGGAGCTTGGCGGTGTAGCAGACACAGCGGTGGTAGGCGGGAACCGTGGTCTTATTTGCATCCCACCTCGGGCCATAGGTGCGGTGATCATCTTTGAGGACAGAGGGACAACAGACAAAAGTAATCGCAAAACAAGAAATGCAGTGCACTGGCAGGATGAGAAGCACATGCAACCTCCAGGAATTAGGGGGAGGGGGAGCATGAAGGGAAGGTTAGTGAGCTTTTCTCTAAAGGCTAACCTAACATGCTACCTTATAAATCAAACTCTTTTTTTTATCCTCTTTCTATCCATTTTTAGAAAGCATCTAATGAATTCTAGGTATCTTGAGGGAGCTGATATGTAGATTCAGGTCAAGGGGTGACTATGCTATCATTTGCATGAAGAGCTTTTCCTAAATTTTGGCTGACATCTGGAATTTCTGGAATTCTTGGAAATAAGTACTATAAGATTGTTGTGAAGAATGCTCCATATAAGAAGCTAAATAATGCCATAGGTTTCTGATGTGCTATCCCCCATTGTGGACTCAAAAGGATTTAGCAGTATTTGCATACGCCAACCTTCATTATAAAAGAATTTGGCAGACAGTTCAACAGCAACTGTCAGTAGGAATGCTCCACTGTAAGCAAAATTTCAGACCAACCTAAACTGTGACAGTATAACAATGCCAAAGACAAGAAAAAGGACTTCTGTGTTTGAAAAAGCTAATTCCTTCCTTTTATAACCCACAGTATAGTTAAATATATCCTTGTAATTTCCATCATTTTGACAAATACCCATTCGTCTATTACTAAGCTGTGCTAAAATATTCTGAGTCCACAATCTGCCTCAAGCTTATTCATGTGCTATTTAATGCTCCAGATGTACAGATTAAGCACACCCTAAAGTACAATCATTTAGGACAAACGATGAAGGTTAGCATTACAATTTTTATTTTAAAATAGTCTTAGTACTATGCTACTCTGCAGTGTCTAGAAGTGCCTTTCAGAACTATCAGCTTGCATGAGCCATACAGATTTAATCAGATATATCTGTATAGCCCTCTTACTCAAAATTTGATATTACACCATGTATGCTGAGAGTTTACAGCAAGCACAGCATATTTTTGAGGTAGTATTTGGGTAACTTTGGCAGATTCACTTATCAGTAAAGAGCTTCTGTTTGGTACTTCAAAGACCTACAGTAAAGTTCTCTGGACTACTTTTTTACCAGCATACATATTACCAAGGAACCTCTACAGGCCCTAACGAACCTACAAGTTAATGAAGTCTCCTTTCAGTAAATGGTTTGGGGCATTCTTACTTAGTGTTCTATGTAAATGGACTGAAGCAGCCAGCAACATGTCTCTAGAAAGTCAGAGAATGCATGTGCTTACAATTGTTAAAAATAAATAAAATTAAATACAACATAGCAAGACTGAAAAAGGAAAGCAATAACTCATAAAGAAAATAGTGTCAAATTCAGCACAACTGTTAGTTCACAACATCAGAGCAATGCAGTCCCTTTCCATCCAGGCAGAGAGGGATGGTCAGAGACAGGATTTCAAAAGAGAAACAAATGAGAGCGCTTCAGACATCATGCACATGTACACACAGCATGCAACAGCCACCACAAGCAAACACAACAACCCAGCACTGGCACAAAGCACAGGTGGATGCTACAAAGTGCAGTGAAGAGCTACAGTGTCAACATGAGAGCTGGTGAAGCAACACAACCCTAACAAAACAAAAACAAAACCAAAACAAAAAAACAAACAAAAAAGGGAAATTGCTAGAAAAAAAAAACCAGAACAAAACATATCCTTTCAGGCACAATCACCCCATCTTAGACCCTCGTGAATGCACATGGATCTTTGGAGCGTGTGAAATCCCAGGGATGTTCTGGTGACCCACATGTCCCATCTTGGTCCTGTTTCTCATGCCACACCACCAAAGTGTGAAGATTTAGATTATGCTTCTAATTTCCTTGACCTTGAAGAAGTATTCACAGTTTAAGTGTCTGGCAAACCACTGAACACCAGCATGACAAACTCCAATTCAAAGGCTTTCAGCTGTTTGTTGTATTGTGGCTGGTCAAACATTTATGCACATGTACTCAATTTTGGTTTTGATTTTTTTGGATTTTTTGGATTTTTTTTTTAAATGTATGCTTTGGAAGGGAGAAGTGTTATATATAAACCAACACCAATTCCACTCTCTTAACAAAAGTAACATATTTTTCCCATTCTCTATCTGATTTACATTTATGAAACTTGTGACCCTTTGACAAAGGAGTCAGGAAAGGGGGTTCCAAAGACTGCATCTGTTTTATGCAAAGCAAGATATCCATGAAGGAGTTGTTCTTGTCAGTCTAAAACCAGAAGATACCAGAAGTGTTCAAGTACTTTTGAAAAAGATTTAAGCTGAAGGCAAATCCTCCTCCGCAAGTGAAATTGGTTTATCTCAATTTACAGAATTGAGAATTTTACCCCATAAAAATAGACAACAAGCAGAGGAAGACAGTCTCCCTCCACTGTAAGATATAAACCCCATTATTTGATAAAAATTAGGTGGAATATAACAATTAGAATCCCAAACCTGTAATTTCCTTTCATCTAAAATCCAAAGATTCAGAATTCCGTAAATATGCAGCTTCTGGTGAACATATGTAAGTACTGCGCCACTGTCACTCCACTAAAGGCAGCTCTGATTTTCAAAGAGCAACAGCCAATCTGCATTCTAAGCACCCAAAGGACTTGCACCACAGCAGTGATTTAAGCTTTATTAATACTTAACTCCAGTTGATTACAGATTTTTCTCTTGGTGCTGCAAGCACCTGTGCAGCACTCTGTGGTCACTAGGACACTACTTCGTTTATTTATCAGCTTCACCTCTGAGTTACATGTTCACAAGGACTAGACACCCTAGCTGGGTAACACTGACCTGCACAGTATCTTTACAACTTCAGAGAAGAACTTTAACACTCACGTGGACCCATGTTTAAACCTGGGATTACTTTTACTTTTATGTAGGAAGGATGAACAGAAACTTTACAGAAAAGGAAAAATGTAGCCATATCAACCAAAAATCCCAGTTTGAAAGCACCTAGAAACTAAGTTTAAATGTAACAAGCAAAGATTAGGATAGGGTTTGTTTATAACAAAAGCTTCCCTGAACCAAATGAAGAAATCAAGGCAGATTTATTTAAAATGCTGGTGCTAGTGAAAAATGTACTAAATACAAAGCAAAAAACACTCAAAAAACTTCCTATAATTTAAAGAAAATCCATATACCCTCTCAAGACCAAAGCTGCATTGTAATATTGTACACAGACACAATCTTAAAACTGAATATTATATACAGAAAATATTTACACAAGCACAATAAATCTGTTTAATTATTGGACTTCACAGCATTAAGTGAGTTTTAGTAGACTCATATTGCAATGACATGCACATAAATGGAGTAAATCTTGTATGTGGGGTTTTCTAAACTCCATCTGTGATAGATAATGAGCAATCCCTGAGTTTACTACACGTCTGAATAAAGCTGCAATACAAAACCCATTGTCAACCATCTTATCACCCGAAACTTTTCAAATGCACCGTGCTGTTAAGCCACTGGCATATGAATTCACTAAACAGGGCAAGAATTAATTTGACTCTACATAAGCACAATCCCTCTGCTTAGGAGTTGAAAAGAGCACCATTAAGTTAGTAAAATGAAAAAAAGTCAGAGTCTCCTTCCAGTCAGCCTAAGCCCCTGCAGCTCCCACCTGGAAATTATTTAAGAAGCAAACAGAAGTTTTATTTCACATTTCAACTGTAGAAAGAGAATTCTGCATTGCTGCCAGTACTGTACCAACTGTACTTACCACTGCTCAGCTTTTACATCCTGTGTTACGTTGACACAAGCAAAAAGATCAATACAGAAACAGAACTTAGCGACCAACAAGGATGCGGGCCACGAGAGTTATGGTACAAGACAGTATTCCTGATACAAGCCTAGGAGATGTATGTTGAAGAACCAATTGTTATCACAGTCCATGTAAAAAGCTTCCAAATGTCTTATCAAATCTGTAATATTACTTGTGTGCTGAAGGGAAAATGGTGCCTGCAGACATGGAATATCTGAGCATGAGAACTCTGCCATTAATCCTAGTCAACCTCATTTCATCAGTCTGCCTCAGTCCCTTCATCTACAAAGTGGTGATAGTTGTACTTACCCATGTCTGTAAAATGCCTCAATATGAAACACTACAGAGGTAAGCCATGAAAGACTATTTCATATTCTTGTGGAAAATGGGATGAGAGGTTCAGCTCAAGCCATTCCCAATTGTTTTTTCCCCATGTCTCCTTCATACCAGACACACATCAAGGAACAATCACTGGGGCTACAAGTGTATTGCAGGATAAGAAAACTGTGTTAGACAATAAGCTTTCACCCAGCACTTTTTTTTTTTAATGTAACTCTGCACTTGTGACACATGCCATTTTTTCTTCACAATTCACATCCAAAACAAGAGCAATCTATATCTACTGCCCATTTCACTCAGAAAAAGAATGAAAGATGAAAGGAATGAAAGGGGAGTGCAGAGAGATTTCATCATCTATACTATTTTTATGATCGATAGATAGAAATGGAAGGTAAATCACAAGTGAGTAAAGATAGCAGGCAAAGATTCACAGAACAGAAATCAGTTTACACAACAAAGCAGTCACCTAAGAAAGTTTAACAAAAGAAGAGGTGATACACTTCAGGTACCAACAGTCAGACTTGCAGCGTGACCACAGTAGGCCGTCTTATTGATGTGCATTCCTGTGTCAGTACAGGCAACAATCTTACCTACTCGAGACAGAAAGCATGCATAGAGAGGTTGTCAACGAAATCCTGCCTCTGACTCCAGGCAAAGGAGAAACAGCATAAAAGCCCATATCCTCTTCATAAAGGGGATGACTGATGTCAGACCCCTCATCAGAAAGCCACCAGAAACCCATCTCCATGCTCAACTCTAGCATGCATTTGCTACAGGCCTACAACTAGTGATACTGGCTCCTGGGCCCTTACCTGCCCTGAAGCTCCCATCTGAGCAGCTTGGGCCTGAGCTGCTTGCACTGCTGCTGCTGCCTGCTGCTGCTGGACCAGCTGAGCTCTTACCTTGAGTATGAGAAGAAAGAACACAAAAAGTAAAGTAAACATATGTACCTGATGAGGGCATGACACTTCTGTTTCAACTGAATTGACTACACTCAAAAAGGGTGTGGAGACAAGATCAGCCTCACACACATACTCTTTCTAAAGACTTTGAGCTTTCTTTATGAAAAGAAGTTCCCATGTTCCTAACATTTGGAACAGTCTTGCTACAGACCGTGCACCTAAGATTTGATTTCTTCTTGCAATTTCTTCCCTGTACTATCAGATCTTGCTATGACAATATCAGACATTTGAACTTTCTGGCAGACATAGTTAACCACATACGTGTTGATTTCCCTCAAGCACGCTGTATTAAGCACTTACCAATGACCAACAGCTCAAATGTTTATACGTTCATTATGACCGTCAGTGTGATGACAACTAACTACTCCTAGCTTAGCTGGTAGGAGCACAAAGTGGATGTATCAACTTGTCCATGTGGGGTGAATTTCTTGAGTGTGGCTGACACTCCACTGCTCCCCAGCGAGGCCGAAAGAAAAGCAGGTCTTGGGATTATGTCTGAGCTTCTGCTCAACAGCACATATGGAGCCCAGAAAAAACTGAATGTAATGCAACAGTTCAAAAAGCTGCACCATTAACAGGATGACCCAGTAAGAGGTTCAACAGAGTAAAACTACTGTCTTGTCCCCATTGTCTTTAAGGCAGGAACTACCGGTATCTTAAACTTTGACCAAAACCTGTAAACATGGCAGCAGAAGCAAAGCCAGCATGCTAGAAAGCCAACACTGGCTCCAGTCGCACGAAATAGGCATTTCAAAGCACTTGCTCATGTTCTAGAGCAGCAAACATCATGGAGGTGATTTTTCTTTAACAAGAGTTTGTCTCTGGGTTGTTTTGTTTTTTTTTTTTTAACTTATCCATTCAAGAGTAAGACAAGAAATTATTTTTAAATATTAGGTTCATAAATGGTTTTCATAAATTTCCAGAAGTCCTACTCTTAGACACAAAACCATTCTCTACTGGCAAGCCCAGACATAAACCTTTAAAAACTCTGTACTCATAACATGCTAACTACAGATCTCTTAATAAGCTATGTTTTTTCCCTACTTCATTATTAGCAAAAGTCAAAGAATTTTTTTTTATTTCTCTAGAGGATCATAATGAACCAACAATCAGCTGGTCACTAGCCCTTACCTGCATTGCTTTTAATTGCTGGGGCGTAAGAGTAACAGGCATAACCTGACTAGGAATTTGTCCTGAGATGGCCTGTGGCTGAGATACCATGGGCTGGGGTTGAGGCTGGGATTGTGGTGGAAGCTGAGACTGTTGTGCCTGAGCAACCTGTTGTTGTTGTTGTTGTTGCTGCTGCTGCTGCTGTTGCTGCTGCATCTGTTGCATCTGCTGTTGCATTACTTGTTGAGGTGGCTGCTGCTGTATCTGTTGTTGTGGTATTTGTTGCTGCTGTTGCCGCCGGTTGCGCGCCTGCATAGCCTGTGCTGCCTGCAGCTGCTGCATTTGGGCAATTCGCTGTAGTTGCTGCTGCTGCTGTTGCTGTTGCATCTGAAAAGCAGGAAAAGCCAGGATGCTGAAGCTTCCAGCAATGCGATAGCAGCCTTATTTTTATAGCGTAAACCAAGAGCAAACAGAATCTTAACACATCAGGCTAAGCTTTTAAGCCCAAAAGGAAAGCCCAACTTTTTTATTCACTCACCCTTCATATATCTCAACTCTACGTAGTTGTCATGATTTAACCCCAGCTGGTAACTATACTTCCCAATACATTCCAATTAATCACCATCACTTTTCCTGTCTTCTGATATGTATACAAAAATATCATTCCTTTAGTCTATGAGCCACCCCTCTAAAATGTCTGTTGAGTTCATTTAGTCCATGACTTTTGTGCCCCCTCTATCGTAACAGTCTCTCAGGGCAGGGCAGATGGTGCGTGATGTTGGATTGTTGCATGCTGCCCCCAGAGCTTGTAGCTGATGTATCTGGCACAGTCCATGCTCATGGTCTGCAAGTTGAAGATGTCAATCTCGAGGAAGTTGCTGGGTGCCCGTTGCTGGAGCCAGTTCTGGTTTCATCACCTCTGCACCTTGCCCAGTTTCATCAAAGTTCATTCTTCATTAACATGGGTGATTCTTACTGTACCTCATTAATCTGGGTGATGCTTACTGTAATACCACTGTTATGGCATACAGCAATCATAGCAGTGATGACATCTAATATTATGTAGCAATTAGCATACAATTTAAATCATTGGCTATTCTCACCCAAAATCAAATTCCTTTGAGGTACACATTGGAATTCCCCATCCTTCCGCATCGCCCAGCTCCTTGAGCAAAAGCAATCCCACAGATGGGTTTGCCTTTGCCCAAGGCAGGAGTAACCCAGACTTGTTTTCCCTAACACATTCTTCATGTACACTAAAGGAATTTTATCCCCTTCTACAGTATGTAAAAGTTTTGATTGGGCAGGGCCAGCTCAATTGGTAGAGCGGCTAGTGTTGACTAACCAGGTGGCCTTTGCTAAATGTGTATCCCAATGCTGGAGGGTCCCACCACCCATTGCTCTCCATGTAGTCTTTAACAGTCCATTGTATTGTTCGATTTTCCCAGAGTCTGGTGCGTGACAGGAGATGTGATACACTCACTCAACGCCATGCTCTTTGGCCCAGGTGTCTACGAGGTTGTTTCGGAAATGAGTCCCATTGTCTGACTCAATTCTTTCAGGGGTGCCGTATCACCACAGGACTTGCTTTTCAAAGCCCAGAATAGTGTTCTGAGCGGTTGCATGGGGCATGGGATATGTTTCCAGCCATCTGGTGGTTGCTTCCACCATTTTAAGTACATCACGCTGGCCTTGACAGGTTTGTGGGAGTGCGATATAAACAATCTGCCAGGCCTCCCCATATTTATGTTTTAGCCATCGTCCTCCATACCATAGAGGCTCCACTCCAATTCATATTGAAGTTCAAGCATGTCCAGCATGGCAGCAGTGGTGTGACTTCATTCGGGCCACGACTGTCTACTATCAGCCTCCACTCAGCCACTGGATACCTCTCTCCATGGTGGTCCACTTGCATGGATGACATATAACATCTTCTTTGAAGGGATACCTTTCCCTCATGCCTGACCAGTCACCTCCAGAGGCTGAGGGCTTGTGTCCCTTTTTCAAGCACCTTGTCAATGACCCCTTCCCTGGACAGGAATCCCAGCTACTTGGCTTCCCTGTCCTCTAATTCCAAGCTACTAGCCCCGCTATCCCAGCATCAAAACAGCCAGGTGACAAGTTGCTTGCCTAATCAACAACTGAAATCTTTTCACATATTTCACAGCTCGCTCAGGGACACAGATTGGGTAGTTATGTCTGGTTCTGTCCCTTCCTCCTGTTCTTGTGATGGCCCTGTTTCATGATCCTTTACTAAACAAGTTGACCTTCATGTCCATTTCTTCTTGTATATAGGGCGACTGATACCAGTATGGATTGGTTCTCTGGTTCAGCTGCGATGCTTATCGCAGAGGTTGGGAGTAGCCACAGTGCTTGTCACAGGGGTTGATCTCTGGGTGATATTCTTAAATAATTGCTTAACCTTAACCAAGACCTGGTTACCTATTGTAATTAGCCTGGAGGAGAAGGAGAGGATAAAGAAAGGTGTCTCCCCTGCATACTGGCTCTCTGAGGAGAAAAAGTAAAACGTGTAATTACTAATAGTTTCCAACAGATGGCTCCCCAAGTGCAGAGATGAAACCGCCACTGCCACTCCACTCTCTGTGCCGCCTGCCACTGCTGAGTACAGATACCAAATTGGTTTGATGATCAATGATTTTATCATACCATAAGCCAGTGGTACACAGTGCAGCAGAGTGATAACCTTAATCCAATGCCCAGAGGTGGTAACGCACACATAAACACTGATAAGCAGTATATACGGCAAGTAAGGTGTTACATAACACAACTCTGAGAGCAAATAAAACAACATTGTGATCAGCAATGATTAAATTAATATAATGAATGCTTATAACAAATTTGTTTTAACATGCTCTGGGCAGATCTATTGTTATCTCAACCCTCTGTGCCACACACTAGGCACCAAAAAGGACTGTCGTGGTTTAACCCTAGCCGATAACCGAGCACCACACAGCCACTTGCTCATCCCTCCCTCCCCAGTCGGATGGGGAGGAGAATGGAAAAAATCCTCATGGGTTGAGATAAAGACAGTTTAATAGGATAACAAAGGAAGAAAATAATAGTAACTATAAAACAAGTGATGCACAAATGCAACTGCTCACCACCTGCAGGAAAAAAAAATAAATCTGATGCCCAGTCTGTTTCCGAGCAATCCCAGCTCCCAGCTTGCTTTCCCAGTTTATATACTGAGCATGACATTCTACAGTCAAGAATATCCCTTTGGCCAGTCTGGGTCAGCTGTCCTGGCTGTGCTCTCCCAGTCCTTGACTTAGTGTAGACACTACAACTACCTAGCAACAACTAAAAACATCGTTCTCATACTAAATCCAAAAGACAGAGCTATACCAGCTACTAGAAAGAAAATTAACTCTATCCCAGTCGAAACCAAAACAATGGTATACATCCCGTGGTTTCAATATTGCAAGCTTGTCTCACTGCTAAAACAGTTTTCAAAAACCATCAACTTCTCCTGTACAAATGGGCTCAGAAGCAATTCTTCAAATGTGCCAGCCTGCATCAGCACCACTGTTTACCAGAAACTGCACAAGAGCATGACAGCTGAAGTTTCTGCTTTTGTGCCCAAGGATGATACACATATATATGATGTGCTCAGCACGTTTTTTTAAAGTGGGAACATGTAATTCACACAATGACAAAACAGCCACTATTTCTAGAGTAATAGAAGTGCTTTTAGTTCTTTCCCATATCCCTGACTATCCTGATGTTTATAAAGAGAAGAGACAAAATAATTCTCTATTGCTATGACAGAGGAAAGCCTTTCCTCTGGGATGTAATATATTGTTGCCAATTAACTTGCAAGTCTAAAGTGAAGTCCCACCCCAAAGTGGAAACATGTTAATAACAGGCAGAACTGATATTATTCAGAACTTCCATGCAAGCTAAGCCTCACTTGACAAGTAACTGAACACAGATCACCTCAATTGCCATTGTAGTTTGTCATCACCTGCTGTTGGTTTTGCTGCTGCTGCATCTGCAGTTTCAGCATGTGTTGTTGCTGCTGCTGGACGGCTTGCAACTGCTGTTGCTGCTGCTGCTGCTGCTGGGCTGCTGCAGCTGCTGCTGCCTGCTGCTGCTGCACCTGAAACTGTTGTTGCATGGCTGACTGTTGGGCCTGGAATTGCTGCTGCTGCAAAGCCACCTGCTGCTGCTGGAATTGTTGCTGCTGCTGCTGTTGCTGCTGAGCTATCTGCTGAAGCTGAAGTTGGGCTAAAAAGAAGGTAGACTGTACTTAAAACATGAGACCCAAACAGTGTGAGAGACAAGTTACCCAGTACAACTCATAATAATTGAGGAGAATCCCTAAAGCACATTAATGTTCTTCATTAGCAGCATATACTTTTGCTTCCTTAAATAGATGAGGCACATTAACAGAATTAATGACACTTCCCACTACCAACCCCTCATTCTCACTGCCTATATAGAGTCTACAACCTAGGTAAAGAATGTAAAAACGTGCAGGAGGAAATATGCACAGAGGTCACCAGCAGGAAGCACTGTACCCATAGAAAACTTAGGTAAGCTCTACAAAAAGAAAGTTCTGAAGTTGACATCTTGTAGGACAAAAGAAGCATTTGCTCATACCACAGCTAGACTGTTCCTCACTATATTCAGACATCCCATTAGGTAGCACTATCTGAAATCTATTCTTCCTGCAGTTTACTTGGCTGATTTAGCCAGAAGTATGAAATCTCTTCAGCACCCTTTCCTTGTGGAGAAGTTATATACTGAAAGGCTGATCTAACAATTTTAGCGGCTGAAGCAAACAGAACACTTACTTTGCTGAGTAGCTGTAGAGACACCTGGCATACCATGAGGTGCCATTCCCGAGGTTCCAGGAGGCTGCTGCTGCCCTGGGAGACTCATCTGTTGTCCCATTGGGCCAAGGCCACTCATCCCACTCATTGGTGCTCCTTGAGCTCGAGAAGCCATGCCCATTCCCGGTGCTCCTGCTGGGGGACCCCCAGTTAGATTCTGCAGGGCATTCATTGGATCTACAAAGAAAACAGTTACCAATACACAGCCAGTCATGCACTCGCCCTCCCCCACCCCCTCTTCCCAATTCCTCTGTTCTCCAGCATTCACTTTCTGATCTGTCCGCTTCAGACCATGACTAGATCCAATACCCTGAGAATCTAACATTCGCTGCTCTGCCTGTGACACCACAAGAGGCTTCTGGCACGTTCTTACCTCTCTGTAAATAGAATGGAGATTATTTAAAGTGCTTCAGATTTGCAAAGTTCCAAATAGATTCTAAATACATTAGAGAAAAAGGAACTTCTTAGCCACCTCTGAATTTATATGCAAGTCAAAATAAGCTGCCAACAAAACTCCATGAGGATATCCAGCTTGTAACCTCAAAAACCAAGAAGAGAGTCTCACTGTGGATACAATTAGCCTCTTCCTCCTGAGGTCAACACAGAGAAGCAGTGCTCAGACCAGAGGAAGTACTTTGCTATACAGTTCCCCCCTGTAAAATCACATTTATCATGCAGTGGATAAATTCCGTGCCTTTCAAAGTAATTGTCATAATCTGAATCCTGGGCACACTGAAAAGTGAAGTCAAAGAGGGAATGGCAATTCAAAAGGGCAAAACACAACATGGGGTGCAGAAGCAATATGCAACAGGTACAGAAGGCAACACCCCCCTCTTTCTGAAGAATATTTATAAAATAATTTCCAATGTCTAGGCTGGACATTAATCACCTGCAGATGCTGCATATTTAGCCTACGGGGGGATAAAAATAGAGGATCATACTATGTCCCTAACATACACTGCTGTAAGAACATGCAGAGGCAGAATACATGATCAGATCTAATCTCAGTCAAATGGCAGAGTGTGTACACCCCACAAACACCAAACACACTTGCCTCTGAGGCAATGCACTGAGGTAACAGGGAGAAGCCTGGACTGCTCAGCAGGAGATTATTTTCAATCAGTCTTGATCTTTCAAGAATTTAGGTTGTGAGGTAAAAAAAGTCCAAACAGGGAAACTAACAAGTCTCCCATGTGACATCCAAATCACTGTCCAAGCCTGTGACCCTCATCACTGAGCAACTCAAAGACTATCATGCCACCTTTCCTCTCCTCCAGCAGCATTTAATATTCCAGTGAGGGAATCCACAGCCTTCTTATTCTTAGTACACCACAGTCTTGATTTCTAAGCTGTTCTATTTAGAAATGGGGGGTAGGGAAAAGGGAAGGAAAAAAGGAAAAGGGGGGAGAAAAAAAAGCAGCTCTTACCACTAACTGAGGCTTGAGATTTCTTATTGTCTGCAAAGAAAGAACAATTAATCACCTTGTTAATCTTGTCACAGATAAATTTGACCCCTTCAGATATATTCTCTACAAGAAATATCTTCATATAATTGTAAAGAATGAAAAAATCATTGTCTGCTGTAGTTCTAACAAAATACATTAACCTAAGCCAATTTAGTAACCAGAATGCTACATAAACAATGGAAAGAAAGCAAAAATACAGGAAAAAGTTAGGAAGGCAGAAAAAGTAGTAAATTTAAATCATTTCTCAAAGACTTTTCAATTATAGATGGATGTGTAAAAGAAACAGTATTTAGAAATTAATCACGTATATTACGGGAAAACTTTAAAGCAACTTGTGAAGAGTCACATGCAGACTCACACACACAAACCCTAAGATTTACTTTTTTTGGAATGATGTGATGAGCAATCCTATTACTGAGAAAGAAAAAAACCACAACAAACAAAACCAAACAATTACTTACGAATATCTCGAAAATGGATAATAAGTCTGGCCACAAGAGAAAGATATTCCTCCTAAAGGTGAAAAATGAGTATTTTAGCATAGGAAATAAAGACAGAGCAACCATGACTTTGTTTTTTCAGTATTCTTCCACAACATAACAGATTTTACTTTTCAATGTCTGTGAGCTTTTCAGAGCAGTTCACTTGTAAGGAACAGTCTGTTCGATAACTAAGTGTGAATATTTTTACTAATAGCTCATTGTCGTTGATGGTACAAGAAGGCCAAGAAATCACAAAATTCACTGGCAATAACCTCTATGACAGTTAAACTAATAGCATCACAATACATAAACATAATTATAAACCAATACATCCATTTTCCTCTTCTTATCCACTCTAATTCCTTTTCCTTAAGGACTGAACCTGCTTACTTGGTACACTGACTTCGGTCTTTGAACTATGTCACAAGAACTTTTTTTAAGCTAAGTTAGTATTGTTTAACAACTTTAAAGTTGTTAACTTTTAATATGATAGAAGTGTCAGCAGTAAAAAGACAAATATTCTTTGCAGTATTTTACTAGCGTGCTTCATGACGTGCAAGAGAAACCGCACAGGGCTGAGACAGCCTTCCTGCCCGTGAAACTACCAACTCACCACCAGCAGGCATAAAATTGTGACATCAGAATTAGAAAATTTTCACCGAGACAAGTTCTCTCTCAAACATGGCTTGTTTAGAGGCAGCAACAGTATCCAATTTCTCCCAACACAGCTCCAGGAAAGAAGTTTGCATTTTGGTAGAGTCTAGAATTGTAGACGATAACCAGACTTTCACAGTGACCACAGCACTTCCCTTGGTCTTACTCTTGACACAGCCTTTTCGTTGGTATCTTAATCTGTCCCAACCACCAAACTGGTCGTATGGAACGGTGCTACACTGTAGATAAAGGAAATTCTATGCAATTCACTACACACAAGTCTTTGGATAAGAATTAAGTGTGGTCCCATGTATGCATTAAATGCTGCAGCATCAGCAAAGCTGTCTTGGACAAAAATCCAGTTCGATGCGCATATTGGATGCAAAACACCCCACTTCCCCTCAGTGTAAAAATAGCACATATAAATCAAAAATTTTGCATAACTACATACTCTAAGCAGAGACAGTTAACTAAGCACATTGGGTTTGCTATTTCTGCAGGTTATTCCAAACTTCTTTTGACACATCAGTAACTTCTGAAAAAAAAGAGAGATGCTTTACCCTTGTTTTGGCCTTCATAAACACATGACTTTCCATATCTTTGCTGGATTTATTATGGGCAACACCAGCCTTCCTCATAGCATCATCACTGAAAGAAAGAGGAAAAAAAGAAAGGCTGAGTATTAATTGAGGACATCAGAAAATATTTTCTATAGTCAGGAAGGTCTGTAAAACAGCTTTTTATCCCTCTCTCATTTCTACGTTAAAAAAAACCCACACCACCACATACATTACTTAAAATTGCCACCCTTTAGTATTTCTTCAAATAACGAAGAAAAAAGCTAACTAATTTCTAAAAGGCAACACAAATATTATTCACAGAAATTCAAGAACAACTGCTAAGCAAGTCATTATTTTACCACCTGATGTATTATTTCAACAAAATACCATGACCTGTTCATTTGAGGAAAGCCAAATGACAGGATTAATGTAATCCATGGTTGGGAAACAATGGGCTTGAGCCTGCCTAGCGTCAAGCATTTCCAAAAGAATCCACTACACATAAGGTGGAGGAATAAAAAAAATAAAAAAAATAAAAAAAGATTGCCTAAAGGCATAGGGGTTTGACCAATGAGTGATAATAACGAGTGGAAGCATTGATCAGAGGCGGAGAAGAGCAGAGGTGCAATGATGTGCAGGGCAGGGAGGGGACGATCAACATGAAAGCAGCAGGTGAAGCAGTAAGATGAAAAGAAGGCCCCACTGGTGGAAAGTTGAGGGGAAGAAAAAGAACAGGTTTGGTAATAAAAAGCTTTCAATTCCCTTACTGTTCTTTCCTATTTATCAGCCAGAATCACAGGGACTTACTGTCCTTTCTCCATCACTCCTCTAGTAAACTGGATCTAGAGCTGCCCTCTGGATGGGATATTGAACAGGCAAGATGAAAAACAAAACCAAAACCCACCACCAAACCCACGTCACAAAACACACACGTTGTTAAGGCCATAGGTGGGAAAAAAAGGGGCATTCTCAGTACATCAAAAAGTAGCAAGCAATTCAACTGTGAAACATGCAATGAGATAAAGACATCCTAAAATGAGGAGTTCATTCAGATGAACAGCCCTATTCAAACCCTCCAGGCATTCTCATTCTTGGAAACATTTCACTTCACTGCAAAACCTGTTCTGTTTTAAAGCAGCCTAGCAGCTACAGTCTAAATTCCACAAACAAGTTAGCAGGAAATACTTTCACCTTGTAATTAACAACTTAGCAACTTATTTCTCAGCAACTGCTGTTGCATGAGCAACTACCCTACACTAAATGCGTGTTAGGGTAGTGATCCCTGAAAGTTTCAGCCAGTCTGAATAGGAACTACTGTTTTCTTCCCCTTGAATTTTTACCACCTCGCATGCAGCAAGAGCACTAAGGTGGTTCAGCTTCCTGAATTAACTCAATAATACAGTCATGCAAGTGAGAAGAGCAGATGCTATAGCCTTAAAATGCAGGAGCTTAGGCTGCCACAACTCACACCCTTACCTTGCACACTAGTAGCATACATCTAACCTGGTGTAACCTGCAAACTAGAAGATGGCAGAACATAGCTACCTGCTGTACGGGTCTCTCATGGTAACTTGTTCACGTGGTCTGGCAGACACTAAAAAATTCTGTTTATACATGAAGGTTACTTAAACTGAAGTGGAATCCTACCATAAAGCAGAATAACTATTCCTCCATGTACAAACAAGGATTAAAGTGAGCTACTCATAAAGAAGCTCTGCTGCAGAGGAAGAGGCAATATCTTTATTGACACCTTTTTTAATGCTTCCCTTTCAGAAAAGCTGCCTTGAAATCCACACTACTCTCTGAATCCTCCTTAACTTCTCAGTCCCATAGTACAACGACAACACCTCTCATTTTGAGAGCACCAAGAACTGAGCAGGCAGAAAGACAAGAAACAGATTATGCAGACGCAAGCAAAGGAAGTAATATGTAGGGAGTACTAAGTGGCTGTGATACAGACAGTGATCAATGTGGTATCAGGAATTGGAAAAAAATCCACAGCAAAGACGTTATCTACTTTTACATGTATCTACAATTTCCCTTTGACGTTATACAACATGAAAGACATTTTATAATGACTACATCTGCATTGCCAATAATGCCACTCCAACCGCTCCATGTCCTATCTGTTAGCATTCCAATAAAGGTTTGGACTAGGAGGAAGAGAAAAAACACACAACTCGTTCTTTGTTCACATACTCAACCGCAATCAACATAAAAATATGTATGCTGAAGACTGGGAACGTCATAAAAGTCATAGCTGGCACAGAGTTAAGGATACCAAATAATGTATCATATCCTTGCAGAACACCAAACTCTGAAAACTAAATGGTACCAGACAATTCAACCTTCATCTTCCTCATAAGCACTTACTAAATGCATCATAAGGTGCACACTAAAACTCTGCCTTTTTTCATTTCATGCAGAACACTCGAAGTTGCAGTTTCACAAGATGAGGCATTCAACGCCGACACCAGCTTCAGGAATTCCCCCTCCATTTCCAAGAAGCTTGTTTCCAGCCCAACAATGTGCAACCTCTTACTCAGGCTAGCTGCTCTCATTGAAGAATCTTGCAAAACACGTTCTCCTTCAAAATTATACCAGCTCCCCTATCCAGCTCACACCATGACTGCATGAATCAGTTGTTCCAATGAAACAAGAGGGCAGTGAGTTCCAGGGCCGACACCACATTAAGCCATGTAACATCACCAGATGCTGCTTCATGAAATAGACTATTTGATCACTCTAGCACTCAGTTCAACAAACCTTTCTTGCTTCAAACAACAGAAGAAAAAAAAAAAAAAGCATGCTGGTAAGCCATTAGCCACATCTATCCACATTACAAGGTTTAAAAACTTCCAAGTAAACATCTACAAATACATTAAACTTTCATCATGTGATCTTGTGCATATAATGCTGCCTGCACAACATTTCGGTTAGTTACAGATCCAACATAACACATTTCATCAATAGCAGCCCTCCCTGCAGGAATACCCACATAACAAGACAGACCGGCAGAAGACCCAAACCAAGAACCACTCATGTTACTCACGTTTGCTGGACAGAACACATAAAGGCCTGAAGGGCCTCAGTCCCCAGAACACTGCCTTCAGCAACACAGGGGAAAGCAAAGGACAATCCAGTTTCCCTAACACCTTGCTCTAGCATTACCTTTCTTTCCAATTCTGCAGTGATGAAAAAAATCCTTCCCACGACACACAGAATCACCTCTTCATAGCTTCACAAGCATATCTTCCAAAAGTGACTCAGTAAGAAGCTGCCCCTTCCAAGTTATGCCCGTACAACTGTCTGCACAGCTGTGCCATCAGCAGTACTGAAGAACAATCAGGGTTAAAAAGAATTACTTTTCCTGAGTTATTGTTAACTTTAAGAAATTTCTCTATCAGGTTTGCCGCATGGCAACCCAAACACTTGCAATGAAGATGTACTGCAGAGGCAGTAGCTTCTTCGGTTCACAGTTGTGTCAAATAATCATTTATAAAATGCATCCCTCACTTTCTACAGTCCCAGAAAGGGAGAAACATCTGCCGTCTTGGCCTTTTTTGCCTGAATTCTCATCCAACAACTTAGGCTGAAATAAAAAATTCAGGCTGCTTTATGAACTGTTTTTGTGAAGTGTTTCACAGAGAGCAGCAATGCAGATGATCTTTTTTTTTCCCCCCTCCCTCACTCAAAAAAACTTTAGCTGATCACTAATCTCCTGCCTGCTTGTTCCTTAGTCTCCACCTCTAGCTCCTTTCATGTGCTCTCCACATTCTCATCCTTATTTCTGTTCACATATGTTCCTTCTTCTCATCTAGCTGCATCTTAAGTGAGAGCATACGCATCAAAACTTCAAGCAAAATACTGAACACAAAACTAATGAACCATCACACAACTTACAAGTTACATCCCTTTTCTACGCTCAATGCTATTCCCTTCCAACATAGCTTAGAAGTAGCTCAGGGCAGGAATTGTACATAACTGCACACTGAGTTTACCACCACAGAACCCAGTTCAGATTTGTCCTTCAGGCAATATCAACATTTAAAAACATATTAAGGAAAGGCCTTTAGAAAGGAGCCTCCCAAGGCACCAGTATGTGCCTGCTCCCTGTAAGGGCCAGAATTAAGGGGTGCCCTGCAAGCACAAGTATATAGTCACATGCCTACATCATCACTGCCTCCTCGAACAACCTGGGAAAAGCCAAAGCTGATCCCTAGTCTCAGTCCTCTGAGCTGAGGCTTTCCTAGATCTAGCAACAGTATGAAAGTCCTGCTTGGGCCTGCAGTCATACAAGAACCTAATACTGAAGGGGCTTCTTAGGTTATCAAATGCAGCATTCTCTCAAATGATAACCAAATCATATACATTAACCACAGACACATTGACTAAGATACCTATTTCATACAGTATCTCTGAAATATTCATCCACATGTCACTTTAAAAAAAAAAAACACCACACAACCAAAAAAACCCCAAAACATAACCCAACAAACCCACCCGAACCAAATTCAGTGTTGTAAAGGAAACCCAAGTGAGAAATAGCAACAAATTAAGACTTTCTGTATCCAGAAGCCATAAGAAGTCAAAATGAGTTATGTGACTGGTTCCATACATTTAAGTTAACTTTTAAGACCAAGTATTACTATTCGTCTTGACAAATAAATATCACTTGTTATTTGCAGGATGAACTGGAAGATATACATACGTACAAGACAGCGTATTTTCCTAACTGTTAGGAACAACCTTCCCACAAATTAAGAAAACTTTCAGATGATTCACCAGATATTTATTTTAATTATTTCTCTCTTCCAACTCCTACATAAGCCTCACTAACAGCAAAATTGAAAGCTTATGGAAAGAAATTGCAACTGCATACAGAGCTCGAGTCTTTTTAGCCAGTATTATTGCTTCTATTTCCCATTCAACAAACCCATCTATTATAAACTCTACTTCTGGCTAGCTTCACTTTATTTCAAGTACCAACATGAATTCAAGCCGAGTTGTTTTAATCACTTAAACCACCAAACCCAAACCAAACCAACACTGCAGTCATTGTATGCCTACCCCAGTAATAA